ATGGCGCTAGCGCTATAATAGCGCTATGGATAAGGTAGCGATATTGCAATGCCCGATGAAAACAGGCATTCAAAAGAACCCGAATGATGCTGCATTCCGAGCGGTTTCTTGTTGTATTCTGAGCGACGTCGTGGGATCACCCGGAAAACTATAGCGCTATAGCGCCTGATTCTTAGCGGATTCCGAGCGACGTCGTGGGATCACCCGGAAAACTATAGCGCTATAACGCCTGATTCCATGTGGATTCTTGCTGCTTTTGGCCCCGTGGGATAAGGTCCCTAGGGAATCATAGGAACTGTATTTGTTTCTGAGACATTGAGCCTTCTCTGTCAGAGAGCTCTGGTGCCACAATATCCCATGATTCCCTAGCACTGAGTTAGGGCAGTTAAAGTGGACTCAATTTGCACTATTTCTGGCAGTCTGCAAAGGCCCTCTATCTCCCAATATAAGGCTGCCCAAGTCTTAAGATCCTTGATGAAAAGCTTTCCCTTGGTCCACTACTGTCACAGGCTCATTTGGTGAGGACCCAAGGGAGGACGTTCTTGGTGACTACTTGAAGACTGTGAAATTCTCTTCCTTGGAAAGTTAGGCTGGCCCCTATTCTCTCCTCCTTTCACCAGCAGGTAAAAACCATTTTATTGAAGCAGGCATTTGATAGTGTGGTGAAAGTTAGTGTGGTTTGAGAGTTAGACAACAACTTTGGAAACCACAGTTCAATCCCCTGCAATGAAACCCACTGGGTGACCTTGGGCAAGCCACATGCTCTCAGCCTCAGGGGAAGACAATAGTAAACCTCCTCTGAAGAAATCTTGCTTATGAAACCCCCATGATAGGGTCGCCATAAGTCGGAAACAACTTGAAGGCACACAACAATTTGATAATTAATTGGATGTGCAGAAGGTCTAGGGAGGTACTGTATTTTTATCTTTATTGTGTTTTTTTTAATGATTTCATATTGCTTAAAATGAATGGTGCTTTAATACGATCGCTTGTTTAGCTACATTTTAACTTTTTAATTATCTTGTTGTAAGCTGCACTGGTTCCCAACTTGGGAGAAAGGTGGGACACAAATAAAATAAAAACTGGAAACAGTAAGACCATACATTTCAAACATGAACTTTATACACATGGGAAGCTTCCCAGTTTTGACACAGTAAAAATAATAACCAAAACAGCTTTTACTAAAACCAAGTGCTTCATTTAAATGAATTCAGCTTCTCTTGTTCATGATCTGAATAAAGATGCTAACTTCTACCATTTCCAGGTAATGAGATTGCAGATTACAGGATGGGGAAAAAGTTTTGATTTAAACCCAGAGAAGCTTCAAGTCACAGTAGATAATGCTATGTTAATAAAATAATAATAATAAAATGTATTTGTATCCTGCCCCTCTGAGAACAATTTTGGGGCGGTTAGACGGACAAATAGTCTGACTCTGTATAACGCAGCTTTGTATGTTACCATTGGTTTATTATACATAATTTTATCAAAACACGAGCCAACTTTATCAGATTTTATTGTTTGTTTGTTTTCTAGCTAGCACTATACAACCCTGAAGAGGCCCAATCTCATCTAATTTCAGAAACTAAGAATGGCCACACCTGGTTAATACTTGGATGGGAGACCACCGAGAACACCTGGGATAGGGCTATGTAGGATTAGGAACCTTTGTGGACAATACTGAGCAGACAATACTGAGCTAGGTGGCTCAATGGTTGGGGTCAACATAAAAGTAACTTCTTGTGTTTCTATTTATGCATATGGCACTTTTTAAAACAGCAGGTCCCAAGGAAGTCACAGAGGAAGCAAGTGAAGAACATGCAAGTATTTCAGTCATGGGTAGTTTGGCTTAGGGACTGCCAGAAATAGTGCAAATTGAGTCCACTTTTAGGGTTAGGGTTAGTGCTAGGGAATCATGGGAATTGTTTTTTTCCCCCTGAGACATTGAGCCTTCTCTGTCAGAGAGCTCTGGTGCCACAATAAAATACAGTTCCCATGATTCCCTAGCACTAACCCTAACCCTTAAAGTGGACTCAATCTGCACTATTTCTGGCAGTCTGCAACCCTCCTTAGTTACATTAGGGCACTGTACCAAAGGCTACCCAAAGGGAAAATGAATTTTGAAGCGCGACTTGCAAGTAATAGAAGCGATCTTGAAGATCATGAAACAGAAAGACTCAGGTATATGAAAGCCTAGTTCCCTCTGAAGCAGTCAACCTCTGTTGGGATTGTATCACTTCTGCGTTATACAGAGTCAGACTATTGGTCTGTCTAACATAGCATTTTCTGCTGTGGCTTGAAGCTTCCCTCATGGATGCTGATCTGTAGAAAGCTCATAGAAAGCTAGCATAGAAAGGAGAAGGATCCTTCTTTAGGCTTCTGTATGCAACTGGAAGAGGCATTCAATCATGTATCTATGGGCCTTTACAGACTGCCAGAAATAATGCAGATTGAGGCCACTTTAACTGCCCTGGCTCAGTGCTAAGGAATCATGGGAACTGTATTTTATTGTGGCACCAGAGCCCTCTGACAGAGAAGGCTCAATGTCCCAGAAAAAAATACAATGCCCATGATTCCCTAGCACTGAGCCAGGGCAGTGCCTCAATTTAATGTGCATTATTTCTGGCAGTCTGCAAAGGCCCTGTGTGTGTGAAGAGGATGCAGCTCACATGAGGAGAGAACTGGCCTAGTAAGAAAAAACTGGATTGTGGGGCATCACTATTGGAGTGGCAGGTATTTCCTATGTCTCCTGACTTTGCTGGAAAACATCACCTGCTGAACAGTTATTTCAGTGGGTGGTCTTGGGTAAGTCACACTCTCTCAGCCTCAGGGGAAGGCAATGGCAAACCTTCCCTGAACAAATCTTGCCAAGAAAACCCCATTATAGGCTTGCCTTAGGGTCCCAGTAAGTCAGTAAGGTCCTACATGCCACTATTTGTAAAACTAGTCCCATTTGTAAGGAGTATATGGGTTGTAAATGCAAAGAAAGCTGCCTTGCCCACAATCAGACCATCTATAGCAATGTTACTGAAAAGAGAGGTCTAGTGGATAAGTGCCAGGTCTGTTGGTCCTTTGGCAAGTCTATAGGAAAGAAAGATTGTTGTGCCCAATATGTAGAAATATCTCTGCCATGCTGGAGGAAAAACAAATAAATCCCTATTGCTTCCTGACATCAGATAGCTTAAGAAGCACAGGTTTCTTTCCCTCCATCTTACCTGCAGGGAAAGACAGGACTCGAACCCAAGATATTATTGTTAGTGTGTGTCTTTAGCAGCTTCATTTCCAACTTATTGTGACCCTAAGGGAGGCCTGTGCAACATACACTTGCAGCCCACCAAAGGGTTTTGCAAGGAAGTGGAATGACTTCAAGGCTCCTTCACTGCCTGGCTTTTTCCTGAGAAGAGGGTTGGGTGGAGGAGGACCAAATTAATATTAATTATATTAATTATTATGAATTAATAATGATTATTTATTATTTAATGATTAAAATAGTTTTAAGAATTAATTATACCTTTACTTGGGACTGCTAAAAACCTATCTCTGGCCCAAAGAAGTTTTAGCCCTATTATAATTTTGGCCCCTATCTACTTTCAAGTTGTGCAGGTCTGCCCCTAAGGTGAACATATCATGGGGTTTTCCTTTTAATATTTCTTCAGAGGGGGTTTGCCACTGCCTTCCCCTGAGGCTGAGAGAATATAACTTGCACAAGGTCACCCAGTGGGTTTCCATGGCTGAGTAAGGATTTGAACCCAGGCCTCCAAAGTCCTAGTCCAACATCTAGTCCAAGATGTCCTGATACCAAAAAGGCACTCACCCTAACCCTATCCCTAACCCTAACCCTAAGCTAGGATCCCTCCACTCAGGGTCTTAACCCATACAGCTCTTCCACACTGCACAGTTATCACACCGTGATCCCCCTTTAATGCCCATGAGGTTTGTATGGTTTGGTCGGAGGCCCCAAAGGAGGATTCTCCGGCTGAGGGTTCCCAAAGTCCCTTCCCTAAAACTTGCTTGTCCCAGGATCCCATATAATTTGTGGGATGCCACGGCAGCAAAAGTGGGATCATAATCCTATAATTCTGCAGTGTGAATGGGTCCCTAGTATGGAGT